TTATTTTCTGATGTTCTAATTAATAGACTGGATAATTTCTTCATTACTTAAAGAACTGTAGCACTGAAAATGCAAAGTGACCATTTGGTTGTTGTTGGCTGGAAAGAGAATAGAGCGGATAAACCAATCAAGTTCTTTAGCAGTTGATCTGTTTTCTGGAATAAGATCCCAACATGTTTCAATAATAAATTTTCACCATTCGGGAATATTATTTGATAGCTTGAGTCGTACTCCTTTATGGATGTCTAATACAAGATCTATCATGACTCTCACCGAATGATCGTTTATCAGTCACAATTTCGTATATAACCATTCCAAAGCTATAAATATCTGCAGCTTTAATGTAGGGCTTTCTATCCAGTTCCTCTGGACTAATATAAGAAAGAAGTCCGCAAATTTCTCGATTAGATTTTTCTATATTTGCTGGACCAGCAAGTCCAAAATCTGCAATCTGAGAAGTTTGATAATGCAATAATATATTTCCAGGGTGAAAGTCACGATGCACGAATCTCTGTGTGAATTTTACACAGATTCTGGATAATCTCAAACAAATGTGTTAATTTTTCACCCCAAGTCAACTTTTGTAATTGCGAAGATCCCCATTGCTTGCACAATCCATTACATACTATTGAGCATTCATTTGTAGTTGGATTTTTAGTTATTCCATGATATTTAAAATGAATTTCACTACAATTTAGAGCAGCCTGAACCTATTTTTGAAAAACTTAATTATTAGAAAACAAAAAAATCATGCTTTTAGAAACAATTCAATTGCTTTGAATTGTGCAATGATTTCAACACAATTTTGCGTTCGTTTAAACTTATTTTTTTCCAGTGAATGGTCCACCCAACCAGAAAGCTTTATAAATTATTCCAAAACCTCCTCTTGCAAAATATTCAACATTGGTGAACCTTTCAAAAAGGGATCCAATCAAACGCGCATCAATTTTCGCGCATTTTTTTTATTAAATGGTCGATATCTTTATTTCCAATAACGATTCATAAGTGCGTTTGTTAAAATTGAAACAGCGACTACAATACTTATTCTTTTGACACTCGGTGCGTTTATTACAATGAGCAGCAAGCACGATTCAATTGTAGCTAGTTGTTAGTTATTCCATAATATCTTATTTCAACACTTAAACTGCACTTTAGAGAAGTCTGAATCTAATTTTGAATAAATTAATTAGATTAAAAAACAAAAAAGCAATATGCTTACACTTTAAAAGGTATTCATTTTAAACTCGGATGTGATTTGCTTTGAATTGTGTGATGTCTTCAATACAATTTCTTAGCTCTCCCCTTCAATCGAATTCGTTTCCTTCATGATCCCATCTTCTAGTTGTATCCAATGGACCGTCCAACCAGGTTGCTTTATAAATTGATCCAAAACCTCCTTTTGCAAGATATTCAAACATTGTTAAATCTTTCAAAAGGGATCCATTCGAATATATGATCATTATCATTATTAATATTATCGCACTCTTTTATTAGACTGTCGATATCTTTATCTCCGCTTTCAGCAGTTTTATAAATTCGTTTGTGATATAGACTACATCCAGAGCAGTTCATGTTTCTTTGACAACGAGTACCGTATATTAATGGGTGAAATACCCAGGGTACGGTACATCCTACCAAGATTTTTCTTGAGTCGTACCTGGGAGGTATGGTGTGAGGAAAGGGGTACATTACAATGGGGGTATAGTGTAAGGAATGATATCCTAATATGGAAATATTACGAAAAAATAATCATAAAATTGGTAAAATATTATGAGAAAATGATAATTATAAATTTGGTAAATGAACACATTTTTTCATTTTTATTATCTCATTTTCTTGCCACATTTTTTGTTTTATTTTTATTATCTCTAAGATGGCACGAACAAAATCAACTTTACCTAAAGCTTCCAGTATATCCAATATGCCTAATGCATCAATCAACACTTCCAATACATCAATTTATTTAATATATCTAACTCATCCAATTCATCCAATACATTTAATGTGTTCAACATATTTAACACGTCTAACTCATCTGATATGTTTAATACATTTGACACTTTCAATTATTCCAATGTATCTAGTACATCTCATACATCCAATATCTCTAATTCAACTACATCCACTTTTAATATATTAACACAACCCAATACTAAAAAAATTCATACTTGGAGTGCTCATAAAAAATTAGTAGTGTTAATATATCTTGATAAAACTAAAGCTAGCAAATGGAGTACAGCTGCTAAATTTGCTATTGAACCAAAACAAATTCATGATTAAAAAAAATCATGAAAATTTAATGTGTGCTTGTCCACATATTCATTATCTTAATCAAAATGCATCATCTAAATATCCTCAATTATAAGAACAACTTAGTGAATGGATAAAAAATCAACATAATATGCTAAATCTAGTACCATATAATTTGGTTTAAATAAAAGCATAACAATTAACCAAAAAATCTGAATGTTTCACTTTATCCTGATATCTATAATTGCAAATGGACTTCCAAATGACTTGACAAATTTATGAAAAGATATCATTTAAGCAATCATCGTCAAACTATTCTTACACAATATTTACTCAAAAATCTTCAAGATAAACAACAGGAATTTTTGAGTTTTGTTCTTTATAAATAACTTCAATATAATTATTCCTTGGAATTAATTGGCAATATGAATGAAGTTCCACTTACTTTTGATATGTCTAACAATATAACAGTAAATAATACTGGTGCTCATACTATTAATATATATTTCTATTGTTATGAAAAATTATATTTTACTGTTGTTCTTGGATGTCTTGCTAATGGAGATAGATTACCACTACTTATTATATTCAAATTAAAAAATAAATCACAAGATAATTTTCCTTCTCAAATTGAAGCTAATGAAAAGGATGAATGAATATAAAAGAAATGCTTTATTGAATTGAGAATATTTGGAATTTATATGCTTCAATAAATCGAAATCCTTATTCTCTTTTAATTATGAATTCCTTTTGTGGACATTTAATTGATCCAGTAAAAAATTAATTAAATGAAAAAATACAAACACAGCAATTATTCCAGGTGGTTTAACTTCTAAAGTTCAACTTTTAGATGTTGCTATTAACAAATCATTTAAAACTAAGGTAAAAATTTAATTTAAAATATAATTATATATTTAAAATTAATTAATTTTTATTAATTATAAATAGTTGCATCATAAATATAATAATTGGATGGTTGAAGGAAAAAAGAATTTACTAAATCTGGTCATATTAAAAGACTTTCTTATAAAATTATAGCAGAATGGGTAAAATTACCTTGGAATGAAGTAGATTCATTTTTAATTCGTAAAGCATTTAAATGCTGTGGAATATCTAATAAAACTGATGTATCTGAAGATAAGTTAATTTTTAATTATGTAAATAATTGGCAATAAAAAAAAATTATTTTGCTATCCCATGAAATTTATGATTGAATTAAATCATACCCCGGGTATATATTTAGGGGTACAGTACAACGTGGGATACCTCGCCCGGTAATATATACGGTACATTTACTACAATGAGCATGAGTATTATGAACTAAACACTCATCGCAATAACCTCGTCTTTGACAATCGTGATATTTACTAAAATCGTGAATATTATGAACTGAACATTTGTTACTGCACTTATTTGTTTGACAACTAAGACAATTACTACAATAATGAGTATTGTGAACCGGACACTCATCACTCATCGCAGTATTCCAATACTAGACAATAAGAACATTTACTACAATCATGAGTATTCGAAGTTTTAGATGCCATCTTTTAGTTTTTTAGTGATTATCGTTATGGCAGTGTTTTATTTGAACGATTTAAAGTCTTCGTTTGTGTTTGTAAATCGATTTATGTATGAAAAATGACACGGGAACACTACATTGTTGGTTATTAATGTCATTAATCACGTTATTAGCGTTAATAATTATCGTTATGGAAGTGTTTATCGGTATTTTTATTTACATATCGATACCGATATGTATGTGTGGAAGTCGTTAATACCCGCATTTACTAATTTTCACCCGAAGTTTTGATTGGCTGAGGATATTAAAGGATAGTTTTAGGATTAAGGTAAGATTATACGTAAGATTGTCTTCCCGGCATTTTTTATTAGTATTTCAAGCCAGGTTTCCCATTCGTTTTCCGTATTTTCACATTATTCGCTTTTTTAATTTTCTTGTGTCGGATTTGTTTTGCCGGGTTGATCAAAAATTTATGCATCTTTATTGTTTGATTCAGAAACCCTGCGTGCAGTCAACCAATCAGCGATGGAACTTATATCCAATCACAACTTCGGGTGAAAATTAGTTAATACCCAAAAAAGGTGTCAGTCATGTGATTCCGATACCGACCAACCATAATGCATAATATTAAATAGAGTTTCGGTTAGGGTTAGGATTAAGGTTATTATGTAGCGGAGCATAATGTATAGTAAATTTCGCAAGGGACATTTTCATAAATAAATTTCAAGATACAAGCTGTTTTTCAAAAGTAAGCATTTGTTTTCAACTTTTTTTGCGTGCATGATTTTAAGGGGATATCGGATGGTCGGTATCGATCAGAATCAAATGACCCGACACTTTTTTTGCCGTCATTCATGTCCGTTTACGTTTGTAAATGAAAAATGACTGATTATACACTATTTAGGTATGGTAAAAAATACCAAAATGCTTAATTATATCAAATCAAATTATTTATAAACTATCCTCTGAATTCATACTTAACCATAACCCAATGTTGTCGCTTGGACGTAAATAATTTAATTGGTCAGGACACTTGTCCCAACCAATCAGATTGCTGGATTTACGTCCAAGCGACAACACTGGCATAACCCTAACCATACCATACCAAAATGCTCAATCATACCATACTTAAATAGGTAACAGTGTATATATAACGGGATCGCATTATTAAAGGACTTTGAATGTATACGATATCACATTAAATAATTAATAGTAAAAAAGATTCTTGATGAAACTCAAGCAATACGTGGTGGAACCCCCATTAGGTATTAAAAATAAATATTAATTGCAAAAAACCGAATTAATTCAGTTTTCCACAATTTGGAACTGCAAAATTATCACAAAAAGAATCGCACGTATTTCTATATTTTTAAAAGTATCAATTTGAAAGCTCGAGTACGGAATCGTGCATTTGAATCTCGCAAGAAAGTAACAATTGATCAAGAGAAAGTCGATCTCGAGATACAGGACAGGTTTTTTTTGACGATGAAGAATATGATGGTTTGTGTCAATAAAGTTATTCAAGTAAAAAAATATTTAAAAAAATGGGTAAATAAAACAATGAAATTTTACTCACAGCAAATATTCCATCATTTACCAGAAGTTAATATTAACTCTGGAACAGTTCTGTTGTTGCTGTTCCACCCCAAACAATGTAGCACCTTTCCATCTATCAACTGCGCAGCAAATTAGGAGAGCCTGTTCTGGAAATCCAATAGTAATCCAGCACTACGAATTAAACTTGCTTTGTGTTGACCTGCGATGTACTAATAGCGATAACGTACTGTCTTTGAAATCTTAAATTGCTCTTTTTCTCACCTGGTTCTGCCACTATAAAGTTATCACTGACATTGGCACTTCACTTGAATCACACCCAAACTTCCGACTAGTGCTGCGGCACTGTCACTTTCAAATAAATAAGAAATCATTACTATCAAAAGTATAAATTATAACATATTACGTATGTACCAGTATCTACGTGCCATATAAGTTAGGTGCAACTACCACATCAAATAGAATAAACGATATCTAGATTGAGAATATAAATGAATATTACGAATATTCACATATATATACCACGGAATCAACTGTTCGACCAACTCTGCATCATATTTATTATTTTCTTTCTTGACGTTTCACGCAAAAGTCCAGCCATGATCTCACAACATTCGATTTATGTACAATAGTAACTTGAAGGTTCCTTTTCATGCTCGTTTTTCAACTGTATATGCTGTCGTACCTTATCTCTCCGTAAGGTCATTTCAATGCCTTTTTACCACACATACACAAAAAGTATACATAATTTTTATTATGTCAATAGCATTATGGACTTTACAGGGATTACTTCTTGTCCTATTCCTTCAGCTGGGATTAAACCTAATGTTAATAATTTCATTATTAAAAGAATGTTTCAAAATATTGGCCATAGTGTTTTTTCCTTTAAGCCATGATTAACTAGTTCTTAAAAATTTCGTTTGCGATGGGAATTTTATATCAACGAAATGCACTAGTTATCGTAGTGACATTAAATTCTTTACTTCCGCAATTTTCCACTCTTGATTTTTCGCATGAATATCCTTTCCTAATTTCCCTTGCTAATCCCTACATGATAATCCTTCCAAAGTTAGTTTTTTGTACAACTCGTGTTGTAAGCTAAATTTGGAAATATTTCATTATGAATGGAAGTTACCTTTTTTTCCTAAATCGTGAATATCCCGTCGTTCTTCAATATAACGCACGTAACGATAGTGAATCTCTGGATGGAGAACAACAAATATCTAGACAATTGAAAAGACATAATGCACGTAATGATAGTGATTGAAAAAGATATAATGTGTGTAACGATCATGATGATCTGAAGAATAACGATTATCTGGACAATTAAAAAAACGTCAAACGATTATTGTTTAATTATTTTTAGAAAGTTTCGAGAGAAACAATTAATGTAAAGATACTAACCTTAGAATTCGCGTAGTGATTCAAAAAAACTGTATATATGGAATTACTCTCGAATGTCCAAGAGGATATGCTTGATCAAAAAGAAATAAAAAGTTCTTACCTGTATACCATTAGTAAATACACTATGTTAATAGAGATTATTGTCAAAGATTAATTTTAGGGTAGCGGTAGGTCTGGAGTCAAGATTATAAATAAAATTGCCTTTGATTAGTCTATCAAGTTTTTGACTTTTTGCCGGGCTGATAAAAAGTCACGATTCTTATTGGTTACCACGTGATCTGAACACTTTTTTTCGCCATGGCTAGGGTACTCTAAGAAGACAAAGTGACGACAATAATGAAGAGGTATTTGTTGCAGATGTTTATGGTAATTATCATTACTATCGCTATTTTATTTTATAGTTTACATTTTTTAAATAGAAGGAGAAACATTATCAGAAGACCAAGTTGATTCTGAAAAGCAAGTTTACTTGGATGTTGCCGAGGACTCCAAAGACTCGGATGCAGCCGCAAAGAAGAAATTCGCTACCACATCGTCAAGTTCAAAACTAGCGAGCAAAAAAGAAAGCTCCTCAGAAGAAGACACTGACGTCGATGACGAAGATACAAAAAGACCTAAGAAGAAGAAAGAAATAATGATTCAGATAAATAAATATTCCGACGGCGATAATGATTTAACTAGGTTAAAACTAAATAAATCAAAAAAGTCCTGGATTTTTATCTGAAATTTTTAAATTTGTTTTACTGAGAAGAACTTCAAGGTCATAATGTCAGCAAACATCCCGTGATTTTCTTCCATTAATGGGTTAACGTTAAGGCTTATGATTTTTTTAAAGAAATCTTAATTATACAGAAATTTATAATTCACAATACGTAGGATAAATCTGACGAGAGTCAGTGTGTACCGGTACTTTTTACATGTATTTTGAAAGTTTATATCGTATGTTAGGCTCTACAAGTGTTCCAAACGAAGGTAAATTATAATTAATATTATTTTTTATTGATTTCATTTGGATTTCAAAACAGATTAACGAGGATGAAGATATATCGAGCTTTTGGACAACTACTCTTTATTAAATGAAGCTGGTGAGTGTTAAATTATACTTATTGAAATAATAAAAATTATATTTTTTAGTCTAAAAGCATATTGAATCATATTAACTACGACCAAAACGACTTCTGTTTCTTTGTGTTTGCGCATATCGATATCGATATACTGTATTATATATTCATTATTTTATTCATTTTCATATTCATTTAGAATTTAACTCTTTAGAATATACAAATACGGAATCTTATATTTTACGTATATTTACGAAATTGTCGTTTACTATCATCTCATACACACGGGAAAAATGAACTACATGTATCCCGTAAAATTCTAAAAAAAATGTTCTGATCATGTGATATTTGTGATTTCCGGAAAAATTCTACGGTAATAAAGGTTAAAGGTTCAATTTAATATTAATATTGCTTCCAATGAACTTCCAAATGCTTCCATTGACAACACTGGGGTTAGAGCTAAAGCCGGGGCCAAGTTTATATGTAAAATTACCTTCCCAACATTTTTATTAATATACCAAGCTAGATTTATGCATCAGTTTCCCGTTTTTGCTTTGGCGAAAAATGTTCGGGTCACGTGGCAACCAATAAGGATGCGTAAAAGTTTGAAAAGGCTGGCTGGGGTGTCTCCTACAACATGCATTTGTTGTAGTAACAAGAGCCTTTATTATTACACACAACAATAGAAGTCATAAAAGGTTTCTTTTTTAAGCGTTCAAATGATAACTAATAAAATACGTAAATTCAAAGATGGCATCTCGAATACTCATGATTGTAATAAATGTATTAATTGCCGATATAATAACTACTACTGCAATGCATGTATTCTATATCACAAACGAGTTTGTAAAGCTGGATGGTCTAGCGGAGATAAATGAATACAATAATATTAATAGCTATAGATGTTTTGAATGGATCCCTTTTGAAAAATCTACCAATAATGAATAGCTTGCAAAATGAGGTTTGGATCAATTTATAAATGGGGGCATGTGTAAAATAAATTCATACGATTTATAAATGAACACCTTTTAAAGTGTAAACATATTGATTTTTTGGTTTTCAATATAATTAACTTTTTCAAAATTAGATTCAGACTCCTCTAAAGTGCTGCATATATGAATCCAGCTACAGTGCAGGACACTTAAAGACGCCAATAAAATTAGTCATCTTTGAAGCAAAGATCTTTATACAAAGATCACACAAAAAAAGGGGCCGATATTTTGTAGCTAGACCTATTTACTACAAAATAGCGGCCTCCTCTTTTTTTGTATGATCTTTGTATAAAGATCTTTTGCTTTAAAGATGACTAATTTTATTGGCGTCTCTAAGTGTCCTGCACTGCACAAATCAATACTCATACTAGATAGTGATGGATGAATTAACGTTAATATTGATTATCGTTATAGCGAGATACTATCCTTATAAAACTCATTTGTTAGCTCTTTTTGCCACATTCTAACATAATTGATCGAAAAAAAATTCTATGAATTTCAATTTTTTTATTTTATTAATATTTTAAATATATAAAAAAATAATATAATTAAAAAGAAAAAGATTTAAAGGAACGTATGCTTTGTTATTATGGACATACAAGACATGTAGAGATGTATGATGACATTTCCTTGTTCGTAATATTTTGATGTAAATGTATGCCGTTTAATTCATCTAATATAGAAATAAAGGAAAACTGTGCGCATCATGCAAAGTTCTAGAAGTGTTCGCGGATTCATTTATCCGAAAATTATAATCTGCCGCGCGATTCTCAATATCGATATCAATATGTACAATACGTACGGTAGTACGTAATCAACTTAATACTCATATGAAAATAGTTTAGATTTTAAGTTTAACGTCGCCCAATAAAATATGCTTACGTACGTATTATTTCAAAAACTCACCATGTAATATGATTATATAGTAATAACGAGGGACACGGGACTCGAACCCGCAATCTCCTGATCCGAAGTCAGATGCCTTATCCATTAGGCCAATCCCCCACTTGATGTATGCAATAAATATTTGGATTTCAAATTGGCGTTGACAACTGAAATGCAAACTACTGGTTGATGCTGAATACGTAATTTCTAACTAAATGGGGTTTTGAGTGATATTGTTTCTAATTCCCAACAAAATAAAATCGTAACGTTAATTTTACGAAATACCGATACCGACAGATACTGAATCTCAATATCGATATCGAATTATTTCGTCAATAGCTGCGCCACTTTATTGGAGACCGGAATCCAGTTCACTGTTCCAGTACTCGAGGTGTTTGATAACATAAAAAAACTGTTTTCATATAAAAAATGCATTCCGATACGTATAATATGAATTTTACATTTATCAAGAATTAAATAAAATACAAAGCATATCATCGCATTTGAAAGCTTATTTTAATTAAGCTCATAATTCATTATCTCGCATACGCATATATATACGTATACACATTAAATACAAAAATTCGTGATTGGTTAGTCGCAGAATAAAATTACTGTAGTCAACAACCGCGTAACTTAAACCAAGAAACTGCACTATGCGTTATAGTTTATGAGCAAAGAATAACATATACATATATATATCTTCATTCTGTTACGTTATAATTTCAAACTAAATATTCGATACTTGGCAAAACTTGTATAAATAAATTCATCATCCTAGCATCCCAGTAATTATGCAAAATTAACATTTCAATGTGTAGAAGATTAATTATAAAATTATAATTACACATGTTTCGAATGGTTTAAATGTGCGTGCTTATCTGCTTGTTTTTTGTGCGTATGCATAACTCACTCAAAGAACTGCTCCATAACAACATCTACTGAAATGAGTCCAACATATATCGAAAACAAAAACAAAAACAAAGCATCACCAATATGATTGTGTGCCGATGGTAATACAAAATCTATTACAGAATTTTCGATTCGGGAATGTTTGGTCGACCAATTGATAAGAGTCATCCCACCCACAACATCAATGATCGTTATCAAATGCGAGTTTTAGTTTAATCGCAAACCGATTGAAAGAAGTCAAATCATTCTCTGAAAAATTGAGTTAATTCTCGTTTAAAAGTTCTCCACGCTTCTTTTCCCAAAGAAAATCACAATACGTATCGATATTGGTATACTTGGCCTTTTAAATTTACTTACATGTACGTACATCCATAATAACGCATAAGCATACATACAACTGTAAAACGATAATAATTTATGTATACTAATTAATCTTACACTGCTGCAGTGTTTTTTATTGTCAATAATGAAATAACGAAAAATGCATTACAAAAGTACAACGACATCGACTACAAATTATCCTACCATGCGCCATTATTGTACACCAAATAGTTAATATAATTGTGACTGTAATTATCATTTTCCTAATGTGGTTACAGATGAACACGTAAAAAATTATAATTAGAGTGCGCATCCACATACCTGTTGCTAATTTCCTCGTTTCCTCTTTTTCCTCTTTTTCCTCATTGATTGAGAGTTGGGTCTTGCCACCACCTAGTATTCTCGTCTCCATATTCACTCTTTGGAGTTATTTTCTACGACTTTCTCTTTTTCTCTCTTCTTATCTCTCTTCTTTACTCGCCTCTTCTTTCTGACGCCAATATAGTTGTCTTTCTTTAGTTAAAAGAATTAAACAACATACACACCAAAATAGTTTTCTTTCTTTAGATAAAAGAATTAAACAACATACACACACCAAAATAAAGACAGTTGTTTTAGTTTTTAGATTTCGTCTAGAAATATACACACAAACACTTCTCTCATCTCGATTCCTAAACCGACTCCAATCCTTCCAAAAAACATAGAGTTGGATACTCTTACCCTGTTTTCCCCTCTTAAATATAAACATTTAAAAAGTCAAATAAAAAGATAATCTACTGAAAATGTCTCCTCGTAAATGCGTAATCTTTACAGCCGCCGCAATGGCGATTTTGGCATTTGTAAATTTTACTGATGCGGTGCCGATGGTGAAACGTGCATTTTCCGGCGATGGAACTTTCTATAATTGTGGTTTGAGCGCGTGTGGCGGTACATATCATGATAGTGATTACATTGCTGCCTTAGTAAGTGGATTTCTTCAAGCGAATTAAAAATATAGATAGCATTTTCTAATCATATTTTCATTTGAATCTTTAGAATAAGCCGCAATGGGGAAATCCAATCAACCCAAATAATAATCCTATTTGCGGTTCGGTGGCAAGAGTGACTGGTCCAAAAGGCAGTGTCACGGTTACGATAGTGGACCTCGTAAGCATCCGACTTATCATTCTGATGTTTTCATTGACTAGTAATGAATCTAATAAAATACATTTTTTATAGTGCCCAGAATGTTTGTTTGGTAGTCTCGATCTTTCACCGGCTGCTTTTAATCAAATAGCAGACCAATCTGCAGGTCGTGTTCCTATTTCATGGGAATTCACCAGTGGCGGTGGTGAAGCGCCACCACCACCACCTCCCAAACCCACTCCTCCGCCTACGCCTACTCCAACTCCTACACCGACTTCAACTACATCAACATCAACAACCACTACTAGCACATCTACTTCCACATCTACTTCCACATCTAGTTCCACATCTACTTCCACAACTACCACATCCACGTCAATTTCTGATGATATATTTCCCACTAATGACTCCAAACCAACTCAAGTTCCTTCAGTTTCATTCCCATTCATCAAAGGGCAAGTTCCATTCTTGAATCCAAAAGCCACTTTGCCGAATGGAGTCAATCCGTTGACTCATACCAGTGATTTCTTGAATGGTGCTCCAATACCAAATAACGCTAATAATAAGAACGATGATAATAATGATAATACGAACGACAATAGTAATGCCGACCACGGTAACAACAGTAATAAGCACAGTGGTGGTGATGTGGCCACAATTGCAACAGTGAATCCGACTGAAGCAACGAAGACTCCTTCCCCAGGCAACAAAAAGAAAACTCATTAAATTTTAACCTCATATAATTATAATTATCAACGAGGAGAGGGAGTGAATTTAGGCGTATAATTTATCATATATATTATATTTATTGTATTTTTATTTTTTGGAGGATGAAAAGATATCAGTGAAAACATGCTTTGATTCTAGTAATCAACCCCTTTTTTCACTGTTCCAATAACTGAATTGATAGCAAGGTCTTCAATCACACGACTAAAAAATTTTTCATGGAATACGCGCGTTCATTATCATTCTGTCATCGTATATATTGCATCAGCATCGTGTATAGATAATAAATTAGGCGTTAGGGTTTCTTTTTCAATAAATTTTCTAATTGTACTTTTATTTGACGCGAAATCATGTTTTGCAATGGATCGAATCATAGTTTTTTTGTATGCGGTACATCGAGATATCTATCGCTATTATTACACTCTTTTATTTCGATAAAGGATGAAATAAAAATGATATCGCTACGTATTCATGATTCGAAAACGTTTTTTTTCAATCGATACTATTACATGTACGTGTTTCGCACAAATGTGTAGCAACAAGAAGTTACACGCATGATTTAATTTAGTGCACTATAGCATCTTTTTTGTAATTGAAAGTAAAACAATTCATTGAGTTCGTTTTGTGTAAAATTAAAATAACAAATCAAAACTCTTCAAGAGATTTTGGTTCGTCCGATGTTTATTAGCGAGAAAGCAATATTACTAATAAGAACAACTACGTACGTATCGCTATTATTTAATAAATTACAAGAATGTAAATTATTATTATACAGATGATGTACAAAATACAGCTATATGTTCAAATATACACAAATAATGTCTGCATACATGACATTATTGATACGTATACCGATACTGGTCGAAAAGTATTATCGTTATTTTTATTTTTACCTGTCTAATATCAAGGTTAAATAATACGTAATGGAAAATGCAACTTTATCATTTTTTATTGCCAAGTGATATAACAAATGGCTGTTAATGATTGATTATTTGGAGTGCTTTTTTGTGGGGTGCTTTTTTGTCGAGTGCTTTTTCGTGGACTTCTTTTTTGTCGAGTGCTTTTTCGTGGACTTCTTTTTCGTCGAGTGCTTTTTCGTGGACTTCTTTTTTGTCGAGTGCTTTTTCGTGGTCTTCTTTTTCTTTGTTACAGCTGCTTTAGTAGTTGTTGCCTTGGTAGTCGCTTTGGTAGTAGTCGCTTTAATAGTGGCTTTGGTAATAGTTGCTTTTGTAATGGTATTGGTAGGCGTGGGAGTAGGAGTGTGAGTGGTAGCGGTAGTGGTAGTTGTGGTAGTTGTAGGAGTGTTAGTGGTAGTGGTAGTCGTGGGAGTGTGAGTGGTAGTGGTAGTTGTAGGCGTGTGAGTGGTAGTGGTAGTGGTAGGAGTAGGAGTGTGAGTGGTAGTGGTAGTGGTAGGAGTAGGTGTAGGAGTAGGCGTAGGAGTAGTTGATGCAGCTGGACCGGCGGAATCGACGAAGTGCCAAGTGATTTTAACGCGACCAGCGCTCCTGTCTGCTATTTGATCAAATGCTGCTGGAGAGAGATCTAAACTACCATATACACATTCTGGACACTTTGTAATATGACACAAACAATTAGAAAACAACTCAATAATAAATAGAAATGGATCATAGCAAGAATTTTACACTTACCATATCTAAAATTTTGATTGTCACAGAACCTTTTGGACCTTTGACACTTGCTTGTTTACCACAGATCGGGTTAGTATTTGGATTCTGTGAATCTCCAAACTGAGGTTTATTCTATAAAGATATCATTGATTAGATATAAATTTGTCAAACTACTGAAGTACTGGGCATGTTCACTTACAATAGCGGCAATAAAGTCGGAATCATGGCTTTCAATTCCACAAGCACCTAATCCAGTATTATAGTAAGTGCCATCACCCGAAAACTCTTCACGTTTTTGAAGAGTTGCTGGTACTGGAGTACTGTGTGCAGCATTTATGAAGAGTGTGACGAATATTATCAATGTAGTTACGAATGTGTATTTTGACATTTTGAATTGCTATAGTTTGATTATGATTTAATTAATGTACGCGTGAATAATTCTGATAATAATATACAATGTTATCTATAGAAACGAGTAAGAGAAATTCTAATTCTAAGTAGTAATAAATGAATGCGTATTAAAGATGAATTATACGACGTTAATGAGTGAAGCTATGATAAAAAGAACGAGACGAGATCCGACATCAGCTACGTTTCTTTCTTTTTTCTAATTAATCAATCAAATAAAAAACCGGAACATTTGACTGTGAAGGTCCTTTTATATCAAATGTGCAAGTGTTGTAGGCGTGAGTTATCTGTCAGTTGGTCTGAGATTTTTTGTGAGATGCAGGTTAGTTTTATTGGATGCATGCATTATTTTAGTTATACAAATTAATTAACGACATTATTGGTACGTAGTCGTGAACATAAAGAAGTTGATTATATCGTATCGAATGGTATCATTAATTCAACGGCACAAATCTAGTTATTAACATGTACGTACATGTATTAATCGATACAAACTCTACGTACCGTTCTTATTGAGAGTGAAGCTTTTTGTTTCCATATATATATCGATATACGTACTGCATTCAAATAGAAATTTCCAAAAAGAAATAGGCATACAAAGAAATACTGTATTTGTAAATATCAAATTTCCGAAATTTATATTAATTTTGTCAAAAAAGGCAAAAACGTTGACGCGTGGCTTCATTGAGTACATGTAGTGGTTTGTTTCCTTTAAGGGTTCTCTTATATTGAACCTCAAGGATTGCTCCATATCGATATCTACCAAATTAATCTAAGGAGCGTTCACAAAATTATCAAGAAATCTGACATCTGCTAATGGTTTGTGCATATAAAAACATAAACGCAAATGCTTTTGATATAGGAAATAGGATGTCTATAAGCATAAATGATCGAAAAACACATACAATTTTATCTCCTTGTTTATATCTCAGTTTTAGCACAGATTACATCAGACGAAACTTTCTTAATACTTTTATGAGCACATGTCTACTTTATTACCATTGCTATCTTTTTCGTCATCGCCTGACATTCCTCTTTGCCTTCTGGTTCTATTGCTGAAGCTACAACCGCATTACCATCTTCAATATTGCATGATGATTAATAGCATTATCTATATAATAGTGTTTAAAAATCCTTAATAATTTTATGTGGCAATAATGCTATATCATTTTTCCAACAATACTATCGCTATATATAAATGTACATAAATATAAAAGGTCCATAGCATTTTAATTTAGTCACATGTATATATTCTACAGAAAGCTTCCGTTTTCTATAAGTAATTGACACAAGTTGACTTTGAACGGAAGGAGAAATTCATAGTTTCATACATCCACGATTTCTTGTTTATTTGCTGATGTTAGATTCGAACATTTGTCAGCCAAATGATAGAGTATAGTACTCCAGTTTTTGTAGGACTTACTCTCGAAATAAAGGTCAATTGCAACAGAAACTTCATAAGAAAGACATTTATAGCAAGATTTCACAAGGAACATTTTTGTTAGAGCATAAAAGGTAATTTTATAGGCAAAATTTCGAGATGCAACCTATTTTTCAAAAATAAGTAATTTAATTTTAAGGAGGAATCTATTACATATATACAGCACATTTGGACTACTATTAGTCACGAAACAAATTTTTGCTCATTACGCGTTCAATTTCTTACACTGCGTCATTAGTTCAAAGTGCGTACGAAACAGATTTTGCTCCATGTTTCTATTGCTGTCAATTCAAAGTTAAGTATCAGTGGCAATATATATTTATGTCTCTTTTTGTTGCATGGGGACCACCAAATCCTGTCTGGTAGTTCAACATAAAAGGTGGCCTTTTGATCGGACAGAATGAATGCTGGCTTGTAACAACACAGGCCAGAGTTTACACGTGTTCAACACATGTAGAAAGAGTTTACGTTTGGAGAGTATTATTAACTAAACTTTATTTTTTTGTTTAAAACAGATGAGTAAACTTTGAATGTATTGATCAAACACTTGTTGTGCTATCATTATTTGGTTCTAGATGTATACTGAACTTGTGAAGTCATCAATGTTATTCACCATCTCAAGAAGGCTATAAAAAAATTTATTGATTCTGGTATGTGATTGGCAAAAGCTTGCATCTAGTTGAAACTTGTCAAGCCTTGTTGACGTTACACTTATCAAGAACATTGATACTGGCATTATGAAATATGTTAATATTGTAAAGAAATAATTGTACAGTAAAACCTCTCTAAATACATTCTCTATAAATGCATACACTATATAAATTCTCTCTAAATGCTTGGTTCCAAGTTATAAGACATATATATTTACTCTCTAAATACACGTTCTCTCTAAGTGTACACTATGTCTATTTTTTACTATGGTCCTGAGAGGGATGCACTTAGAGAGATTTCACTATATGGTCTCTGTTATTTATCATATATATAAAAATTAATTATTTTCTAATTCAATCTAACAAGTTTGTTTCTAATAATCTTATTAGAAATCAAAATATTTAAGAAGGCTATTGTATTATCAATCACACGTGAAATGCTATTTCCTAACAATATTCTACTTTAGTAAAGAAAAAATTAACTTACAAAATTCATAAAAAATTTCAAAGTGTTAAAATCAATCATATAGCAAACTGAAAAATTGTTATACATACTAATACTAGAATTCTGAAAAAGTCTAATTTAGTTTGAGTTCAAGTTTGAACCCAAACACATCTTGCTGAAATAAATGGAAGTAATGATAATACAAAAGATAAAATTCAAAAAACTTAATAGTATTTGATGCTATTCCCAAACTTGATATATTAAAAAGTGGAATCACATAAGTTTTTTGAGAAGGCATTGAAGAAGTTTCGTTTATATCTATAGGTGCCAGTTTTAAAACCGTTTCAAATTCTGGAAGATCTATATAGCGATAGAACTTTCATTTACATGTATACGTATTAACATCGCTCATATTACGTGTAAAAAGTGCACGTTAACACAGAACAGAAATCGATCTACACATAATAATAAACACTCACAGTTTATTTTACAATCGTTTCAGTTTTAACAATAATCACTAACGTTAAAAAACATAAACTCAAATCAAGTACTGAGATTACATGTAGATTGGTTTGATAAGAGTATTTATTCGAATTATGTATTTAACAAATTTATACATGTACATGCAATTTTTTTAAAATTTCCGAATAATTCAATAAATTAATATCACATGCTCAATTACTTTACTAGTTAAGTACGTAATACACTCCCCCCAGAAAACAGGATGTAATACTTGCAGACAGAATTTCAGCGCTGTGACGCACTGATAATGCGATTAGATATCCCGCACCATACATGATTTTTAGTTTCTTTTATAGAGATCAATAACGATAATCAATAGCTCTTTACAAAACCTGAGTATATAAAGAGGCACTTAGGCTGAGCTGATAGTAAAAAATTTCTAAAATTTCGGTTTATTTAGTAAATTCGGTTTATGGCAATCGGGTCTTCGCAAAATTTGTGTAGAATGTGCTAAAAAAAAACACCAAAGAAAATGATTGTTGCGCTACTCGGCTTTTGAGTCTGGAACCAGATTTTTTAAACCAAAGACAATTCTTGAAGAAATCATTGAGAGCAGAGATCACAAAATAATTTTTTACCCAAAATTTCATTGTGAGTTAATTACATTGAAAATTTTTGGGGTCAAGCAAAAAAATATACCACAAATATTGTGATTATAGTTTTGAAGCATTGAAAAAGACAGTTCCAATTGCTCTTGATTCAGTTTCTTTACTTCAAACTCGAAGATATGCATGTCGGACTCAGTGATATATGAGCGCTTACAAGTCGAGTTTATCAGTAAAATAAACAATATTTGCTGTTTAAAAATATCATCCTCATCGAAGAATTCCTGAAAGTATTTTTGAGGATTATAATATCATGCGATATTCACGTAACTATTAATGAATTTAGCGTGTGTGTGTGCTGAAACCTCTACAGAAACCCTGGGTTTCCTAATGATTTTATTAAGGTTCATATTATATTCGCCAAAATTCAAATGAATTACTAGGAAACTATTAGGTGGAAACCTCTAGGTGGAACGAACAAAACTTTGATGGTTTTCTAATGGTTTTATAGTGAGTTCTAGTGACCAATCAGAAATTTCAAAACAATGTCGAGTAGCCAATCACAGATCCAAATTTTTTGTGTCGAAAAAACCCAAAAAGCAAAAGCTCGAAATTTTATTAAGTAAACCAAGATTGGGTAACTAGTAAAAGTGCTCATCTCAGAAATTTGTTTATAATAATATCTTGGGCGCTATGATTGTAAGTATAGGTGATCAACACTAATTGTATTAAACAAGTGTTATTACGGAAATAGAAGAAAACACTGGAAACATTTAAAGTTTGGTCGTTCCATCGCGTTTCCACTTAGATTTTCCTAGTGATAATAAAATATCCTAACGGTACGGACCTGGAATCATGCAAATCACCTAGAGGTTTTCTACGACAGAAACCATTATTGAACCTCCCCCTTTTTATCCTGTGTAATCAAATATGTAGCGTGTGTGTTCTTTTGCATCGTTGATTTTTGTATCTGCATGCGGTTTCTTTTATTTGATGGACCAATGCAATCATATCAATACGCATTCATATGCATATTTTAGCTAAGAACAATACGTACGTACTTGTTATACGTGCATCTATTTGATTGTTTTAATTAGTGTTGAGCTGTAAATCTACACCAATTGAATGTTCTTATATAAGTACATGTAATCTATTTGCCTACCGCTACGAACTTTTTTCAAAAAGATCAAAGCTTTATCTTTATAATCATCCATAATTCGAAAATTTCCTTTATTGCTTTACTTATTCTATTTATTTTTGCGGCAAAATTCGCGAATCCGCTTTCTCAAAGAGGTGTGCGCGTCAACGCTGAACCTGCAAACAAAGAACTTGGCTTTATTGCCGTTGATTAACGTTAGCGTTAGAATCTTTATCTCG